TGATACTTTTCAGCATAAAATATAATCTCGCGCGCGCGTAAGATCTCTCAAAATAAGTATCTCGTGAAATATTAATTTTTCGACAATCTTACTTTAATACTTTGTACTGTGTAGAATGATGAATATAATCGATTTTTGTAAAGAAAAAAGATAGGAAATCTTAATCAAAACTGTGTTGTGCTTTGAAAATTTATTGCTGCATCAGTGTGCAAAGATTGGCATCACGGATCGATTTTTGTCGTCATTTTACGTACAAAAATATTAAGATGAGGTTGTTGAAATGTGTGAATACTTTACGAGATATTTCACATCTGAAAAATATCGAAATGAAATATAAAATATCTCGGAAAATATACACTTTTCGACGATTTTATTCCTATACTTTTATATACAGAATGACTGTAAGAATTAAGAATCAAGGTTGTAAGAAGTTCGTGTAAAAAAAATTATATAATTTCGTTTAAAAAATTCAAGCCAATCTTGAAAAGACATTGGCGCGTCCACCAAGCCAATAACGCCATCATATGTTCCCCTTGAAACTCTACAATTTTCTTTCTGAGATATTTTCTGACGACGCCAAGTTTAGGAGATGTACAGTTGTTTCCGTTACATTAGAACATTCTGTATGTCTTTATTGATCGACTAACAGGACACGATCGATGAGCGTCGATACCACCTTACAAACAGAAGCCAGCGACGATCTGCAATTGATTGAGAATCGGATTAACATACATTTGCATTCCTCGACGAAAAGGAAGAAGAAGAAGAAACGAAACAAATGAAGTATATAATCTGGGATTGGTATGATACTGTATCGTAGATCGGTAATAAGCACAAGGTTCGTCACAAACGGACCACAGATAATTTGAAAGCCAGCTGCTTGATTTTTATTATACACAATAATCGTAAATCGGCAGATAAACAGGTCGTCTTTATCACGGCCGTGAGTAGGCGTTCAGTTTTCGGTCGAAAAACATGGCCGCGAGATGCGGATGGTGGACGCGCAGGTGGCGGACAATGTGCGTCTTCTGATAATTCTTCATCGAGCAGTGCAGGCACTCGAATCGCGGCGGTTGCTTGCACTGATGTCGCAGATGCGCCAGCATCGATTTCTTCCACTTGTACAGATTGTGACAGCTGGGACACTCGTACATGTCGTTGTGCTTGTCGAAAGAATCCGCAGCTGGCTGCGAATGCTCACCCCTTCTGCTCTTTCTCCGCTTGCCCGAATCACCTGAAACCCAGGAGAAAAACAAGAGCGTCTTAGTAACGAGCCGATCCACGGCTTCATCACGTAAAGCAAGACGAGTCTGTCTTGCAAAGTGGTCACCACGTCGACGCTCTTCCACGCGCCGACAAATAACGATGGTCACGTGTCAACGAGACCGGTTTCTCACCGTTCGTGAGACATTGACGTCACAGAACGACTCGTTGTCGTTCGTCATCGCCGACGGACGTCACTAGACACAGAGGGTAACGAGGAGTACAAGAGACATAGAACGCGCGCGCAAGAGAGAAAGAGAGAGAGAGAGAAAGAGAGAGAGAGAAAGAAAAAGAGAGAGAGAACAATAGGAAAGGAGAGAAAGATTTCGATGAAACGATAGCCGTCTTTATTGGCGCACGCGACGGAACATTGCAAGGTAAATGAATACTTTATTACAATCTTCTCTCTATACACTTTGACAACTAAGTTCATATAAAAGTTCCCGTGCGTCGTCATGCGTAAAATTGTCTTGAGTCGTGTATCTCTTTGACGATTCTTGATGGAGATTATATATTACTTTTAATATAAAAGTCGTAGTAAACGTTTACTCGCGTAAACTACGAGACCCCTCACGCATAAAGTGTGAAACTTGAAAACGTGAAAACAGCGATCAAATAGTGAAAGCGTTAGAGCATCAGTGGATTGTCAAGAGAATCGATCTTATCGCGATTGGAAAATGACACTTAGTCGACAGAGAGAACTTACGCGTCTCGAGAGATTGCTCGTATTAGATATTATTTGTACAATTTTTCCATTGCGTTTCACAATAACGGCCTAACCGTAGGAACATGCTGACGTAAAGGGCAGAAATTCGATTTCTTCTTGCCGCCGAATCTGGTTCGTGTGAGCAGCAGAAATTCTATTTCCTTCAACCAAAACGGTTCGTTCATTCTCACGTTAATTCAAAAAAACTCTTTTTCTCTGTGCGTTCAATAGTATGTAACATTGTCGACTTACAATGTTTCACGACGATTCGAAAGGAAAGAGAGCGGGCTGTTGAAAGTTAGAGTTTCGAAAAGGAACTCAGCGAATGATGTGGGCCCATATTAGCAGTTATTATCGACCCAAAAGAAATATAATCTCATCCTTAGCGACAACCTATTATACGTGACCTCCAAGAGAATTCTTTTAAAATCAAAAGAAAACCATTCTAACATCCGAAATAAAAATTTTAGTTGCAACAATAATTCCATATTATAATAGAAAACTTTTACCGAAAGAAAAATGCTCTTCTAATAAAAAGAAATCAAATATTGTGTTGGATATATTTTTCTTTTTATTTCAGACAAATTATCTTTTTAAGGTCATATGTAGATAATTTCAGAAACAGTTTGCCAAACTTTAAGAATATATTCTACTTATTGTAAGAATGAAGAAGATCATATGGATATAAGCTCCATTTTCATATCATAAACACTTTTTGTTTACAATAGATGTTTGTCAAGATAGAGGCAAATAGGTGAAAAATCACAAACTTGGAAATTTTTGAACGGCAAACCATGGCACGTTATGAAAACATTTGCAGAAATTTCTTTAATAAAATGTTTTTACTAAAGAATGTCGTAAACAAAAAATATTTCTGAACATACAAAAGTTCATAATCTCCTTTAATCTTATAAAAATAGAATATGCTCTTAAAGTTTAACTAGCTATTTCTAAAAGATTCAAGAAAATTCTGTTAAGTATGAGATTATATCTTTCTGAGTGCTTGTTGAAATTTGTCTCAAGTGAGATAGTCATACAGATTTGAATTCAGGGGTAGATGAGAGTCATTCTGTTGAATCGTGATATACAGGGTGTCCCGAAGTCCCATGATGACCCTTGGTGAGAACGTAGAACGGATTGAGGTGAGCAAGAAAGTCCTGTGCCGTTTTGCGATATTCGCAATAGTTTTTGAGAAATTAATTATTTTGTCTCAACAAATCAGCGTACAGAAAGCGGCAGCGGAAAGAAAGATGCCTTCGGCCGACGTGCGACCG